ATGCATTGGTTTCTATGGTGGAACTGCATATTAGCCTCTAGAGTGCTCTCTGCTGCCATACTCCATTGAGGTCAATTCAGTGTTCAGTTAGTGCAACTGCAAGTAAATTTCCTCTGAATCAAAGATGGCAGACAAACTGTCACCCCTGCCGACCACTGCTGGCATATCCTGTCAATCCTTATATGCTAAAAGAGCCCAACAGGTAAAAAAAATATGATGATATGCAGTAACATCTAGGGAAGGATATTATCTGTTTGGAATAAGAAATTGTTATGTCTAATATGTAGAAAACTACGATTAACCATGTGTCCACTGTAGTGGACATCATGCATTACCCACTATATTTTTTTACATAAGTCATAAATTGTCTCACTGTTTTTTGGGACTGTTTTGGTTATAAGTAAGCATATAATTGTTACATTTATAAGCTACTCATTTAAAATGTATATTTCTGTGCAGATCAGCTGTAGTTTGAGTTACTATAATAATTATTTTATCATATTTTGTAGACTTCAAATGCAGCAAAGAATAAGGCAGCGTACAGAATAGTCCAGGAAATTCCATCCAGCTCCAGTGATGATGATTTCATTGATGAGTGCAGTGATGATGAGTTCAGTGATAAGTCCAGTGATGATGAGAGTGGCTGCCAGAGCAGAACAGAGACATAGGAACTACGGACAGCCTAGGTGTGATGAACACAGAAGTGTTTGGAGATGCAGAGACTAAGATGTCAGTTTGTGTTTTCTTCCAGCATGCTACTAAGGGCTTGGTAATACTGTCCTGCATCGTTATAGAACTGTGTAGACTCAAAAATGTTTCTCTTGTTGGAGATAGTTTGCCATATTCAGGTGTAGGATTCACAGCTAGGACTGTTGATTGGTTTTGTTATTTACGTCTAAACATTGGGGCCTTATGAGTTGAAAGTTCCAAAAAAATTGCTGAGATGTTTTTCAAAGGATACAAGCAAACAAGTGTTTGTATATTTACAATAGAACACAAGGTAATTAATTTTTATAGTAAATTCACAGTATTTCATGCTAAGTGCTCAGGCGCATGTAGTCCACTGGAGTGGACAAGTTTATAACTTTATAAAAAAACATATTTTTGGGAAAAAAAGAGTTGAACATTTTTTTTCATGTCCTGAGAAGAATAAAAGCACTTAAGAAAAAAATCTTGACCAAGGCTTTCATAATTCATGCATCAGAGGGTTAAGAAAAGAACAAAACATAGAAATATTCTGGCCGCTGATAAAGTCATAAAAATACAGAAAAATAATTATTTATAGCTTTAAATGTCATATTTTGTGTTAAATAAAACTAATTTACAAGGGTGGAAGCAATGAAATGAGATCTTTCTTTTGGCACGATACAGCATAGACTACAGAGCACTGTGAAAACGTCTCAAGTTGGCTTGGAAAATGAGTTAGTACATTTTTAACAAGCTTGAAAATCAGTATTTATTCTACAACACTTCCCTGGGTAAGTGTTCTTGTAATTTCTTGAAGTAGTCTTCAGGAATAGTTCTCCAGGCTTCTTGAAGAACATTCAAAGCCCTTCCTTGGATGTTGGCTGCCTTGTTCTGTTTTGGTTCAATAATACTGAGGTCCAGGCTCTTAGGAGGCCAATCTGATCATCCTAAATGATGTGTTTTTCTGCCCAAGCACATTTTTCCTGCACTAGCAGTGTGTTTTTGATCGTAGTCAATCAGATGCTTTCCAGATAGTATTGCATGTTGGATACAAATCCAACAATACGTTCCATCAATTTTGACAAGATCTCCAACACCACTGCCTGAAGTGCAGCCTCAAACCGTGACAGAGCCTCCACTGTGTTTACAGATGGCTCACTGTGACACTCACAGTTTTACCTCTCTGAGCTCCTCTGCATATATTAATGACACTGAACAAAAGTTTAAAATTAACAAAGTGCATAAAGACACAATTTAAAATAGGTTCAGTTGTCTGTTTTGTGTAAACACAACACTGGTTCATCACTTGAGTAAGGTGCCTTTTTTTTATTTGAATGATCGATACTGTAGCTCAGTGTTAAGTGTGCAAAACAACAACAACAAAAAGCAGAAAAATGATAAAAGCATCCATCGACTGCTTATTTCTGCTCTAAAGTGTAATCTTATCATGGCAGGTCTGGGAGGACTGACTTCCTTTAAGGAGCTGCAGTTAATGACACTTCTCCATTGTCCTAATTTTAAAACCCTGGAAGTTGCCCCTTGGTTTTTGCTGTGAACCGCAGCTGAAAGAGACATGACTCCAACTAAATGACAGTTTGGGTTTCACTGACGACAACTTTCCATTGTTAGCTTTCAGATGCACCACAGTGGGGCTGTGAGACGGCGAGGATGTAAAATTCATTTTAACAGAACTCCACAGAGAGCTACAGCTGTGCATTTTCCTAAGCATGCTTGAGCAGCAGAGGGGTCTTTGGGAAACTCAGGAACATGATACCAAAAAACAAACATTACAGAAATGCACCGGATGTGTCTGCTGTTATTTATGTGCAGCTAATTTGTAACAACAATAATGTTTTCATGGAGGCATATGGGGCCAACCAGATTATGTTTCTGTTAGGATAAAGACAAACAATGTTAATATTGAAGTATTCAACATGTTTTTAAGCTTGTGTTGCGACACTGTCAGCACACATCAGACTGCACTCTAGTTTCATGCAGAAAGAGACTGAACAATACAACAATACCACCCTGACCGAGTTGGTATTGTTGCCCAAAATTAATCACAGTGTGCTCGCTCTTCACACTTTGGACTCACATGTCTATCCTTTGCATTCATATGACTGCTGCTGTGGCCAGGACGTATAAATGTAGAACATCGTTCGCTCTGAAAAAATGTCTCTAAACAATCCAAGCAGCAATTGCATTTCTCAGCACAACATAACCATGAAAACGAAAGATTCGTAATTGTCTTTTGAGGCAGGGTTGACATGAAAGAGATGAGCTCAGAGGAAGAAATATCAGAAGTGACGAGAGCTTGACAGGAAAGCCTTGCTTTGAAAGTACAAGAAGACAAATAAAGCTCTTTCTCTTTATTTTACAATGTGAAAAGGTGAGAAAACCACGAAAGCTCATTTGTACCTATGAGGAACAGCATGCCCCGTTGTTTCATAAGCATACGCAAACGATGGGTAAACATGAAAAGTAATCACATACTTAGGATTTCTAGTATGTTGAAAAGCAAAAGAGATAAAGCAGCCAATACAGAACATAACAAATTAAAATTAAGGCGTTAGGAGTGATCCAAAATCTTTTTGTTACATGAAAAACAGAAATGTCAGACAACCAAATGTCTTTTTTTCGTTTCAAGATAACCAGGGATGGAAAACCTCCAATAATGAGAACACTGTTTATAATTTACTCAGATGATAAGTGTGAACACACCACTGACATCTAGACATTTGCAATCTGACAGGCCTTATCAACATTAGCAGGAAGTAAAAGTGTTTCCAGCAAGTAAACGATTGACCCACACATGCTGGAGACTGAAGTCACTTGTACCAAAGGTGCATCTGTGTAATCTAATTTATTGTTTGTAAAATCTTACATCTCAGTAAGAGTCACTTAATTAAAACAAATAACAAAGTGACCAAAATTTCAAAATGATGAAATTTCTTATCAGCTTTATAAATAGAAATTTATTTTTCTGTTCATAAAGCTACGTTCAGCTGATCCCTTATTCACGAAGGGTCACCACGTGTTTCGTTTAGCAGATATTTAGCGTGATATCGTTTCCATGATATCATATAATTTTTTTTGTCTCCTCCCAGGATCAAACCCACTTCACTATATTGCTAATAACAAGTAAAACGTCAGGTTGTTTTATATCTGGCCCTTGTTTCCAGACAAGCTTTGAGGGTCTTTCATATCTGATCTTAATTCAACCCTGAACCATGAGCCAGTCACAGAAAAAATACACAAGTGTTTCCCTTGCTTCTCAAGAACCTCTAATTCCCTGCTGATATTAGTGAAAGGATTTCAGCCACAGCTGTGATGTTTTGTTGACCATGCACACAAAGCTGCACAGCAAATGCAGGCTTTGATTTGGTTTTGCTCTGGTCTGAATATGTCCACTCCTGTTACCTTTTGTTTCGTCCTCTGTGCGTACCTTCCTGCTCTCTGGCCCAGTGAACAGCATAAATGATTGAAGGACTCGTGTATTTAGTTGTCAGCTGAGACAGACATTTGGTACTGAACTCAGAGTTTCAGCATGGGAACTGACAGCATCGAGGTGCTTCCAACAGTGTTAGGGCACAGAAACAGCACGTAGCTGGTACACACAAGTAATAAATTCAGTGCCAATACTCTCCAGCTGGAGAAAAAGAAGACTACCTATGATTTGTAAGGTTGTTTTTTATTCAGCCTTTAGTGTAACATATCTGTACTGCAACATAAGCACAACCTCTCTACCCTACACATGTCATATACTACAGACTTTTAGCACTTCAAACCCTTTGAGTCAAGCATATTATTGGATTACATGCTTCAATTTATATTAAAAGCTATGTTTGTAAGAAATGTTTTAATGCCACTGTTTGAATGGCAGCAAAGATATAGAGTATACCCACTTATGTCTTATGGTGGCTTTCAGAGGTTAAAATCAAACATCCCTAAATTTGCAGATGATACATATATATTAAAAGGTTTGCTACTGACTGCAGTAACCGATTCAAAGCTTTAAATGATGTGATTTTGAGTGCTGCAAAAGTGCTATTGTGTCTGGTATGAACGACCTAAAATGATCTGACATTTGTTAAAAAATAAAAAATTCTATTGAAATCATGAGAAATAACTAATTTAATGCGATTTTTAACAACTGCATTTAGAAAATCTTTTTAGAAATAGAGAATTAGAAAAAAAAACATTGGTTCAATTCGGCCATCAAAAAGAGAAATACCATGACTGTTAACTGTTGGACATAATGTGCTTATTATGTGATATAAGCTTTTCAATGCTTACCTATTTTTTCCCATTAGGAGAGTTTCCCAGTCCAAGACATGGTCTCCTGAGTGGTCCCGCCACCACTGCATCACAAGCCTTAAAACCAGTCTAACCTGGGACATGACTGCTCTGCTTCCCAACGTCAGTGTTCCTGGGAGTACGGCAGCTTTGCTGGTGACCACTGACTGTCCGTTTAACCTGACTGCAGCTGCTCAGGCAGGACTGGGGTCAGGCCATTCACTGGCCCCACTATGTACCGTGTGTTGCTGTGGGGTTCTCAATCGCACCTTGGCAGTGGTATTCATGGTCAGCCTAGCATTTGCCATCGTGGTTGGGAACGTGGTCACACTTACAGTGTTTGTGCAGACCAGACAGTCGAGAACACCACAGGGATACCTGAAAGGTAAATGTTGTGAACTGTGTGTTGAGACAACTTTTGTTGTAATTTTGTGCTATATAAATAACATTTATTGAATTGAATTAAAAAATAATAATTGAACTGCTTTATCACCACATCTTAACATGTACATCTAGAGTGTAAATCAAGTTTCATGGATTGATTCCAGTAGAGCCCGACCAACATCAGATATTTACCGATATTTGATATGAAATCTGATATCAGCTGATATATTTTTTTCTTTCAGGCACAGGAAACATAAACAGATTTACCTGACATTGGTCATGTGCAGTTATTTATAACTCCTTACTAATATAATATAACGATTCTGTTCATATTGATACATTAAGTCATAGATCACTGGTTTACATTTCTTGTATCTGCTGGCTGTTGTGTTTGTGTGGTTCCAAACACATGCAGGAACGTTGTAGAGTGCCCTCTGGTGGACAAACTATGCAACCTTAATACTAACAACAAGATTATAAGAGTTTGTTCCACCTCTTCTTTCCTTTTGTATTTTAATTTATCCTCTGGTATATCACATAGATATTACTGGGCAATATATCGTCCCTCAACATTATATTGGTAGGGCTCTAATTTCAAGAAACGCAAAAAACAATTCCTTAGTAAAATTTAATTTCCTGTTTGTAAAATGCAGTAATATTAAAGAAGACTTTTTTTTCAGTCTAGAGAGATATAAGAGAATCTTTAATTTTAAGCAATAAATATATTGTAAATTGTATTATATGTATAATGTATAAGTATTGCATTCCTTTCACAAGGTGGCAGTGACCAGAAGGGATTATAAAGTATTATAAATCAACTTCAAATTCAAATTCAAATTTTATTTGTCACGTACACAGTCATACACAGTCATACACAGTACGATATGCAGTGAAATGCTTAGACAACTGCTCGTGACCTAAAAAAAAAAGAAAAAAAAAGGCTATGAATAAGATAAGAAATAAATATGAAAAATTAAAAAGGGTAAATTTAACTAGGAAGGAATAAAATATAAATTAAGGTTAAAAATGAAATAACTGTACAACACAAATTAGAATGAAGGGTAAATTTAACTGGGAAAGAATAAGATAAAATATATAAATTAAAGTTGAAAATAAAATAACTGTACAACAAAATACACAATACACAGTATAGAACTATATAAGAATGTATGAAGAAATATAAATAAATAAATAAATAAATAAATATATTTAAATTCTGCAAATAAAGCAGTTCTTGTGATTAATGGTAAAATGCTAAGTAAATGATAATAAGGAAAACTAAATACAGCTATCCAACATGACATCTTCCTCTTCTTTCTTCTCTGTGACAGTGTCTCTGGCTATAGCAGATATGATGGTCGGTGTCCTCGTGGTTCCTTTTTCCATCTACACTGAAATCTCTCTGATGGTAACCACCACGCCCCCTGTTTGGTATCAGGGTACTTCTACTTCCCCTGCCAACTCCTCTTCTCGTGGTGGACTAGTAAGCCCATGGCAGCCCTGCATGCTGATTGGTCCAGTGTTTGCTGGATGCACATTTGTTTCCATCAGCACCATTTTCCTAATGACTTTGGAGCGCAGTGTGGCCATCCTGTGGCCACTCCAAAAAGACGCCTTGGTGACCCGAAGACGAACTCTGTTCCTCATCCTGTTCTCCTGGGCTTCCAGCTTTCTGCTGGCTTTAGCGCCTCTCATCTTCAGCAGAAACTTCACTTTGGAGTACAATGAGTGCAGTCGCATGTGTAACTACACCCCACTCATGCTTGGAGGCCATCTCCCGCCTGATGCCAACATCTTGTTGTTATTCCCAGCGTTCGATTTCACACTGCTCGGTGGCACATTGGCTGTTAATATCGTGTCTTTCACTAGCATTCGGCGGTACTCCCAAAAACGCAAACTACTCTCAGAGGGGAGTCTGAGCGATGGAGGAGGAGGAGGTGGAGGATGCCCTCACAGGCCCTCTTTTTCAGACATCAAAGCAGCCAAAACAATTGGCATATTAACATTTGCCTTTACAGCATCCTTCACGCCCATTGCAGTGTTTGTGCTCGGGAACGTGGTGGGATACACCTGGTGTAATTTCTCCTTTTTTGCCTTCTGGATTCTGACAGGAAACAGTTGCTGTAATGTTATTATTTACAGCGTCAGGGACCACCGCTTCAGGAAGGGTGTGACCCTGCTGTTTCAACGAGATCAATCCCCCCCGCATGGCGAGAAGAACTAAGAGACGCGTAAATCTGTGTTGTGGCTGTGACCCAAAGTATGACTTGGAATAGTTTAAAAAGTAGAGAAAGGTGAAGAATGGGTTTATTCGCTTACTCTGTGAAAAGATTGTCATCCCTTTCCTGTTTTCAAAGAGAGGAAAAAAGGAACCCTGCCTATTTCAACTTGTGGTCCTTAATATGCCATCAATAATCTCTCTTGCTAAAGCATTATGTTAAAAACATATGAATTTCATCCATTAAAAAAGCAGCAACGTTATTCCATATTATGACCTATAAAGGCTGTGATTATTTTACATGTGCAATGCACTCTGGATTGATGATGGAAACGAGTTCGACTCATTACATCAGTCTCACAACCAAGTACATAATGTATGAACGCTACGAAATGTCTAAAGGAAACAAGAAAAGAGATATTAATCTACACAGTTTTCTCATCCATAGCAAGAGAAAGGGAAATGATCGGGCACATGCGGATGAAGACAACTTCCAAAAGACCCCGAGCTGTGTTCTTGACACTTCTGTACTAACACATTTGATTAATTTAGAGCTCACAAACACTTTTTGTTGTTGTTGGTGAGAAGCAGCAGCTAAGACCAAAAGCTGCACCTATAATTTGTCTCCCCAAAAATGCAGACAGCAAGTGAAAGTGAAAATAACTTTAAGATAGCCTGGGAACAGAAAGTATTAAATGTAAAGATGCTCTGCAGGCAGCAAAATATAACTTATGGCAGGTGCTGCCTTTGAAAGTGCACCAAAGTGTGTTTAAGAGTCTATAAACATAAAGTGTCTTGAGGAGAGATTGACTACATTGAAAAGGTGGATGGTAGCCTGAAATTACAGGTTAGGAAAGACATTTTATCATAACCTGATACACTTTCACACCTCTCAAGTGGCTGCACAGAAAAGGATTTTGTCCCATGCTTGCTTCTTCAGCTCTGTGATCGTCTTCATTGTTGGGGTTTATTAGTGAAGAGGAAACAGAAAGCAGGAAGAGAGAGTGGTGGAAGACACTCCACAAAGGGCCACGGTTCAAAGTCAAATCCGGTTAAATGCATTTAGCCTTTCAGCACATGGTTGCCTGCTCAACCTGGGAGACGGTCATCCTCGTTTTTTGTTTTTTAATTCTGAGTTATGCCAACAGTCTTTTCATGTTCAGTTATGTCATTCTCAGATTTTAGTTGAATGGGATGAGCTATCTAGCCCAGCGGTTCCCAACCCCTGGGCCTCGGACCGGTCCCGGTCCGTGAGTCGTTTGGTACCGGGCCGCGAGAGTTGAGGCTCAGGTGTGAAATGTATAGTTTTCAGGGTTTTTATCGGTTTTCAGCGTTATTTTGTTATCGTTTTTATCGTTTACTCGGTTTTCCTTGGTCTTTTCACGTGTTATGAATAAATCTTTTTTTCGGTACCGGTACTAGTTTTATTTTGTTGTATTTATCGTCGCAGATAAATACAACAAAATAAGTGTCGCAACCTTAAAGGCCGGTCCATGAAAATATTGTCGGGCATAAACCGGTCCGTGGCGCAAAAAAGGTTGGGGACCGCTGATCTAGCCTACCTGCACCATAAATAACAATGGTGGCCTATTATTTTTTTTATTAAAAAAACCCTAAACGTCTACTTTACATCATGTTTAAGTTGTTGTGGTGTTGTGGGCATAATAAGTCATGTCTTTGTAGTCGCTTTTTTTTACAGGTAGTAAACATGTTTATTTCTGCTAAGATGTTGACCATTTTACCACTGACTTGCTTTTTAAATCAGCCTCAAGTGGTCATTTGAAGAACTGCAGTTTTTGGCATTAAGCATCACCTTCATTATTAAGCCCCATATGTTGTCTCTTGGACTGGGTTTATACAAACATGATCAAATCTGCTTATAAACACATAGAAAGTTTCCTTACCTTTCTTTTTTTTATTAATGGAGTTGTTTTTTTTTTAATGTGAGTTTCTGTGGTTCATGTCCAGGGTAAAAAATAAATTAACAAATAAACAGTTGCCAAGTAACCACTCTAGACGATTATTGGTGTCAACAAAGAAACAATTTAGTAACACCTTTGTGAGGTTTAGAGGTGCTGGTAGGCGGAGAGTTTTGTTTTTGTATCCAGTTTTTAGACCAAGCCATTTCCTGGTTTAAGCTAATTTGAGGTGTTTTCATCACCTAACACGTTTCCAAAAAAGCTGAGGCTCAAGAGTTCCTATAAGTCAAATGTAAATGCCATTCAAATGGAAACACATAAAACTTTAAATGAAAAAGTTCTGAAAAAGTTAAAAAAACGCTTTCAGGTTTGTCCACATATTATGGATCATGACTGAAAAGGTCATTAACTGCACAACAGCAAGTCCTTGCAGTGAGTCTACTGCCACAACAAATCCATATCCTCTCCCCGGGTGTCCTTGTTTCCTCTCTCCAAATCTAAACCTTGCTTTCAAAGGGCTTTAATGAGCCTTTCACAAATTTCAGAGAAAAAAGTATGTCAAGGAGCCACAACAGCATAATGAGTAGTTTATTTGTAACGTTTTTTTTAATCTTTTGTTTGTTTTTGTGTTGTTTTTTAATGACAGCAGTGTTTTTGTCACCTGTTAATTTATAATGGGGTTTGTTTGTAATTAGAAATCATGTTGCAGCCTCCTCATAGGAAACAGTTAAGGTTACTTTTAAAATCCATTAATTCAGTTTATTTTGATAACAGTCTGCCTCAAGTATCAGAAATGCACTTTATCAGTTGCTATATGAGCCATTTCCATTGTGCCAGGTGTCGGACACAAATATTATTTTGGACAGATTTTTATTTTTAGCTTTGTATTTTGTCTGCATATTAAAGAATGATCTGTGTATTTATTAAATCAGTACTGACTAAATGAATGGGACTCCAGCCACAGAGATGTAGAATAAAAACATTATGATATATAGCGGACCCTCATGCTGTGTCGGTCTATCTTTTCAGGGTATAACATACAATGTATAACATGAAATAATGTGTTTCTTGTGTACTTATTTTAATTCTGTATTGTACGAATTAATTATATTTATAAATAATGAGAATTTTGAAGTATAAAATGTCATTAATTTATTTCTTGACAGAATAGCTTAATTTGAGCTATTCTGTCACAACTGAGATCCCTTTGAATGCAGGGAGGAGGTTATTCTTGCCATTGCTGCTGTAAGCAGTTTACAGATTATTCTGTGAATCCATAAACAGCAACCCAACAGTTCGATTGACATAAGAGTGAAAACATTTTTTGTAACTTACCATGAAGTGATTGTTTGACATTTGGAAAGTACATTTATTAGCTCACTGGTCACCTTTACCACAGCAACGAAATTTAAAAGAAATTGGTATTCAACACACAAGTACCTTGGTTTTTAATGTCAAATATGCTGACATATGGTACATGGAAGTTTGTTTTTGGCAATATTAAGAAACATTTGATTGATGCAAATGTGTTTTAAATGGACACTCGCATTGTAATGGCTGATAGGCAAGTTAGATTTTAGAGGTAAGTCTGAAAACAAGTTCTAAAATACACTACATAATAAATCAGCCTCCCAAATCAGGGAACTGGAGGAATCTGTGGAGCTTGTGATTGCATATTTGGATGAAAGATTTGAAATTGCAAAAAAGACAAAAAGATAAGCCAATCATGTAGCTGGGAAAATATTAGAAAACGACGATGTAAGATAAAATAAGAATTTACCTGCCAGCAAATATAAAGCTCACAATTAATATGTTTTATTTATTTAACCCTTTCACGCATAGTGGTCGCTACAGTGAGCAGCTATTCAAAGACAGTTTTCTTGTATTTGTGTCAGTGTTGATGGTATACTTGCACATAGACCACTACGTTGGACACTGATGTGTCACTCCATACCCTGCCACCCTCTGGTCGTTTAATGTTACTATAGATGTATGCCGTGTTTCATTGTAAATATTGTTATTTAACCCTGTCATGGATGAATTATGACAACCTCAATCAGGATTTTTTTCTTACGTATTTTTATTCATCTTTTCATGCTTAAAGATGAATAGAAACACTTTTAAAAAAAAGTCCTGATTGAGGTTGTCATAATTCATCCATGACAGGGTTAAACCATAAAAAATGAAATCAAAGACACTTTATTTTTATTTATTTACACCAAACGCCATTAAACACCATAGACATGCAATTGTATATATTATAAAACATTTACAGTCGCACAAATTTTAAAAACTTGCCCAAAATTTGTACATAATTTTTAGGATGAGCTTTATTGGGGCTGGAAGGATTGCGTTACCTTTGGACAGACCAGTTTAGCAGTTTGCCCCGCCGTCCAGTGTTTGTGTTAAACCAAATTGCGGGATTTTTACCTTTCTCAGTTCTCAGTAAGAAGATTAATAATGTACTTAGCAAACTGTCAAACTAACCATCCAGCCATCCATCCATCCTTCTCGCCCTAAGACAGCTGGGATAGGCTCCAGCACCCCCCGCAACCCTGAAAAGGATAAGCGGAATGGATGGATGGATGCAAACTGTCAAACTACTCATTTAAATCATAGATCTCACAGAATGGATGAATGAATGAAAAACATTTTCCAGGAAAAACTATCATTATCTTCTAGTTTAAAAATTTGTCACAGCAAGGTTTCAAATCAAAAGCATTTCAATCATCTTGGGCTCAGTGTAAAGGTCAAATTGTCTACTACTACTGCACTACTGAGACTATAAACTTGTATGAGTAGTGCATAATTCCTCAGTGGTGACTGCGTCAGATTTGGTAACAATAAATGTGTTTGTGAACACATCATTTGTGACTTAAATAGGTTTCAGTGTGACAGTAATGCACTCAGTTTACTGCGATGATATTCACAACCTCCACAATTACTCTTGAGTATTGAAGGGCTGTCACATTATGTAATGTGAAGAAGAAGGAGTGGCAGTGACGCTATGGGACACCTGGATACTTAGCATGGAGGACTCTTTGACTGTGTACAGGAGAGAAAGCAGAATTAGGTAGACCGAGTTCGCATCTTTACATCTAGAGAAGAGGATCCTAAAACCGAGTGACCTAAATTGTATTTTGAGTGTGTGTGCATTTGGGTAGATGGGGACAGAGTTTATATTTTACATTTACACGGTTAAAGCGCAATCTTGTAATGTGGGAAGACATTTGGGTGGAGACGGAAGTGTAGAGCAGTAGACTTCTATCAGTAGCGACATGATAGAAGTCTACTCCACCACCAGTCCCACCACAAGATAAATGAGCTGACATTTGGTTGCTCATGTAATTGAGTTCAACGATGAAAAACACAAAGCTGTCCAACAGATATCGGGAGAATGGGTAGAAACAATAAAGAGAGAGAACAAATCATGTACTCTGGAATGGCATCTAGCAGCCAGTAGCCTCATATGTCATTTATAATCAGTACAATAAATGAATCTGATCTGTATTTCTGCTGTGGACTCATTAATCAGTACATTGTACCCTCACAACAGTCCTGTGAATCATGTTCATTGTGCAGAGCACTGACTCACTGCATCATTCATGCATGCTTTCATACTTGCTGCAGGTGG